TAATTTTATAATCTTTACTTTCTAATAAAAAAAAATGTCCTCTAATTATATTATAATATAAAATTATTTTTATTACAATTATATTATAATTTAAAAACATAATTAATATTTTCAAATCTATATAGTCTATAAATTATTTACTATAGTAATTACTTCGAAAATGTATATGGATGTCAAAAACTGGTTCTGTTAAAATGGACCATACTAATCGATATTTTCAAAAGCGAAGAAACGCGGATGGTTCAATCTTTAATATTAATTTTCATATTTTATAAAACAACAATTATTATAATTCAATGAGAATCATAAATCATTAAATTTTTAAATTTTTTTTATAAATTTTTATTCATATATTTTCACATATTTAAAATATAATATCTATTGATTGGTTATAGTGATTTTTCGATAGTGAGGTTAAATAAAAATGTAATAATTGAAAAATCATTATTTGAATGATAAATGAGACAAAAAACAATGAAAATGATAAATTCTTTAGATTTTATGGTAATTTCCATTAATTATGATATAACAAAAATTCGACGGAGTACTTAAAAATTAAGAAAGTATAACACAATGAAATCTGTGTATAAATTGTTTTTTCTGTGCCTTATCTTTATTGCAGTCATCATACTACTTAATTTAACAAATTTTTCCAATAAAATTTATGATGCACGTATTAAAGAAACAGTTGTTTCTACTACTATTAAAAAATTTCAAGCATCCTCTGTAACAGAAGTCACAATTTGTGTAGTGGTTTGTGGAGATAGAGTAGATGAAGCATTAACTATGCTCAAATCTGCCTTAGTTTTTACACATAGATTTTTACAATTCATTATTTTGGCAGAAACCAACTTAATTCCTGCTTTTAATGAGAAGTTAGCAGAATGGAAACTTTTGTCAAACAAAACTTTTGATTTTATTGTTAAACCTATTACATTCCCTAAGGACAGTGATGCTGCAATGTGGAAAAAACTTTTTAAACCTTGTGCAGCTCAGCGATTATTTCTTCCAGTAAATATATGAAATATATTAATTAATTAAGAAAAAACTATTAATATGTATTAATATTTATATAATTTGTTTATTACAGTCAGTATTAAATAATATAGATGCAGTTCTCTATGTGGATACAGATACATTATTTTTAGCTCCACCAGAAAAAATTTGGGATGAGTTCAAAAAAATGAATTCCAGTCAATTAGCAGCTCTAAGTCCAGAACATGAAGATCCTAATACAGGATGGTATAACAGATTTGCTAAACATCCTTATTATGGAAAGCTAGGTGTAAATTCTGGAGTAATGTTGATGAATCTCACAAGAATGAGAGAATTTAGATGGATAGAATATGTGATACCCATTCATAAGCAATATAAATTGAAGATAACTTGGGGAGATCAAGATATAATAAACATTATATTTCATTATCATCCTGAAAAACTATATGTCTATTCTTGTAGATATAATTACAGACCTGATCATTGTATGTATATGCCTGTTTGTATAAAGGCAGAAAAAGAAGGTGCTTTGGTTTTACATGGTTCCAGAAGTACTTTTCATTCTGAAAAACAACCTCCTTTCAAAGCAATTTACAGAGCCATGCAAGAATATCAGTTAGGTACAGATACCTATGATTATTTATTAGTGCCAATGAGAAATTATTTAGCTCTGGAACATAAGTCTAACTGTGGTAAAGTGTGGAAAGCATTTATTATTCAGCCTGAATTGCATTTAGGACAATAATAATATTTAAATGTTTTTTTAACATATAAAGAATAATCAATATATCAATCTTTTGATCAATCATCAAAATAATTCATGTTGATATACAGTATGAACAATTTTATCCATACATAAAATGAGTATGTTCCATAATATATTCTGATTTTATTGACAAATGTGCTGTGATTATTACTATTTAATGTAAAAAGAAAAAATCGTATTATTAGCTACTATTGTTTTGACAATACTCTTTGAACATAGCTTTAGATAACATTTAAAAAATTTTTTTGTACATTTAAAATTTGATAGATTACTTTTATAAAAACTTTATTATTATTAAGCAAAAAATATATTATTCATAAACTATTTAAAAAAAATTTTTACAACTGTATTGTCGCAAATATAAAAGCGTTTTTTTATATCTAACTATAACTATAATTATTTTATTATTTCGAAATACATATATATATATATATATATATGTTTTTGTGATACTTTTCTTATATGAAATAAAAAAAAATCATTTCAATTTAAAATACTGTTATTTTTTCCTACTGAATTATAATAATGTGCTATAATAATTTGTCTTTACTTGAAAGAGAGGGGGAGTCATTATATCGAAGATTCTGAATAAGGGAACCATAGTACGTTGGTACGTTCCTGTGAGTCATGATCATTTGTGTGAAATTGTGTTATCAAATATTCCAATATTTTCTCTTAAAAAAATCCTATCATAATTAAATAATTTAACTTACTTGGAAGATCCCAATGAGAGACCAACCACAAAAAACTTTAACTAAAAAAGAAAAGAAATGAGATCCACAATCCACGATCCACAATGAAACACAACGATCGCGTGGCCAGTGAATTACTGTTCTGATAACGATCAAACGGATGGTAATAAAAGCGATAAAAAACGAAATCCATTAGTACAAATTTAATTAAAAAATACTATTTGTCAGATATGAAAGACGTTTTTTTTTTATGTTAATTTGCATCTTACTCGCACGATAACATTGTTTTCTACTCTATACACAGTAAAGGTAAGAGATTTTGCGATTACATGAAGAATATTTATCTTTGATTTTTCATATGTGAAAAAATGAATTTGAACATGTTAATTCTTATAAATGACAAAATAATCAATTAAACAAATAAAAGTAGAATATAATAATTAATAATTACGATAATTATAACGCAAGTCAACAATTCAATATCAATTTCTACTAGGTTTCTTCTAATAGATTAGTTTTATTATAATATATTATTGCATTTTTATTTTTGATATTTATATTTTAAATATTTTAGATGAAATTTAAATTTAATATTAAGTTGAAAAATTTAGAAATAATTTTTTAATTGATTTTTTGATCCTGAATATTTTTCATCGAATTCTTTTTGACATGAATGTTACAATTGTATATGGAAATATCATATCATCGAGTTATAAAATTCTGGGTTATTTAAATATTTTTTAAAATACTATTCTCACTATTATTGATATTAATTAATGATTTCATTGAGTTATTATTTTTAAAAAATTTTCTTACTTTACAAACAAATTAATTTTCTTTAATTAATTTATCCATTAATCTTATCATCTTATTCTTATCTATTTTTTATATCAATAATGTAATTTGATATATTATAGATTATATAGATATATATTAGTAGAAAAGATATATTAATAATATTATTTATTTATAATAATATGAAAGATTTTGTGATAAAAAAAAAAATAAAATAAAAAAATCAATATTAAAAATGAAATTATTTATTAATTATTTATTAATTATTATTATACAATGTTAAAAAGAAAAGAGTATAAAAAAATATTAAAAATAAGAAATAATTAAAATATTTTTAAAAATACAAAATTTCTACTAAATTGTGTATATTAATTTCAATTAAATTCTATAAATAAAAAAAATTATATACAAAATATTTAAATACTGCAAAAAAATAAGTTTAAAATTCATTATACTTAAATTTTAAAAGAAAAATTTTTAACAAATTAAACTTAATGTTCTGTTCCGCAGAAATAGTCATGCCGTTATTCAAATCACGTACTACTCCTAGATCTTCCACACCAGAGAAAGAAAAAATTTTGAATGGTGAAACTCATTACCATAATGATCGCAATCAATCGAATGGAAACAAGAACGATCAAGAAAGTTCTCAAGAAATTTTTGATCAGCAACAAAACAGTAATCAAGAGCAAAGACGATCTTCTAAAATTTCTAATTCTCTACCTGTATTTCATTGTCAATTAGCACATGGGAGTCCAACAGGGTTGATATCAGGATTCAATAACGTACGAGAACTTTATCAAAAAATAGCGGAATGCTATGATATACCAATCGAAGAAGTAAGTTTTTTTATGATTTGACCTGTCTCTTCCACATTAATTGTTTGATAGAAACAATTTATCTAATATTTGAATATGTATAATAAGCTAGAATTTATCATAGAAATCTAAATTTTTTTTATGTGTAATTAATTTTCTAAAATTTTCTTATAATTTTCTATATAAGAATAAATAAAATTTGTTTAATACATATAATTATAATAAAACATACATATATATATAATAAAACATATAATAATACATACATATAATTATTTATTATAGTTGCACTTTATAAAATGAAAAAATAAAATATCGATATATATATATTTAATATTATATTTAAAAAATAATTTTTTCTACTTTTTCTACGATTTATTTACTTTTATAATATACAAATAATGTTCTTTTTGTCGCATGGGAAGAATATCCCGGATACAGGAAATATCGGTTCCGGGCTATGGGCTCCGACCTGGCGAATAGAGTTAAATGTAGCTTTTCGTATAATAATAGATCGTAAAAGACAATATTAATATCTATTTATCAAATTACAGCATATATTTTTATCTATGTAGTAAATAATTTAAATCAAGAAGTAATATTGAATCAACTTTCATAATACTATTTAAAAACTTTTGTGAAAGTTAATTTGTAATTAATTATATTACATTTTAATTGAACGAATTTTTAAAAGTGATATAAAAATTGAATAAAAAACAAAAAAAAATAAACCACAGAATATAATAGGTAAAATTAGAATAAATATTTAAATAAATATTAAAAATAATAATTTTTAATAATTATCTTTTTGATATTTTAATTCTTTCATATTATTAAATATAATAAAAAGAATGAACATGATAAAAGAAATATTATAATGATTACGAAGTTTATTTCGATGATCTTTAATTACTAATTAACTATAATAATATTTCAATTTTTAATTATAGCTTCAATTTAGAAGAAGAATAAATTATGATATAAAAATTCCAAAAAACAATTCTTTATTATTTCAGATACTTTTTTGTACTTTGAATACTCATAAAATTGATATGAATAAATTGCTGGGGAATCAAATAGAAATAGGAGACTTTATATTTGCACATAAAAAAGGTAATCGCGAATTTTATAATTTGTTTAACATTATTTCGAGTATTATTTAGTTTTTTAATTTTTATTGCATTAATTATTAATTTTTATCAGGAACACCTAAAGAAATAGAATTAACCAAAACGAACGACTCTTTTGGATTAACAATAACCGATAATGGTGCAGGATATGCTTTCATAAAACGTATCAAAGAAGATTCGGTGATTGATAGGATAAAAGTAATTCAGGTTGGAGATCATCTTGAAAAAATTAATTCTATTAGCCTAATTGGCAAACGTCATTTAGAAGTAGCAAAAATGTTAAAAGAAATTCCTAAGGGAGACACATTTACTTTAAGAATTGTGGAACCATTGAAAAATGGGTTTGCTAATATTGGTCCACGGGGAGATATGAAAAAAGGAAAGAAATCCAGTTATGGAACTGGAAAAGAAACTCTTAGATTCAAAGCTGATGGAAGTGCGCAAATTATAGAAAAAGTAATTTTTTAATTATCTATTATTATTATTTATTATTATCTATTTATAATTATCCATTATTAAAAAATATTATAGCATAAATATTTATAAAAAATTATTTTTTTTTTTACTTTTTAACTAATAGGTGGATGATGCTGTTACTATCGGTATAGAAAAAATTAACGTGATATTGGAAAGTTTTATGGGTATTTATGACACAGAATTAGGTATACAATACATATTATCATTTTAAAAATACAATATTTTTTTGCAAAATTCAATTTAAAAATGTTTTTTGTATTTTTGAATAATATTCAAATTAACATCAAATTTATTTATTTAAATAGCTACACAAATCTGGGAACTTGCAAAAGACAAATGCAATAGTATAGAATTTGCGGAAGCAATCGATAATTCAGATTTAGAAGATTTTGGATTTAATGATGATTTCGTTATCGAGTTATGGGGTGCTGTGACTGATGCCAGAGCTGGAAGACACCGATGATATTAAGATTTACATTAAAAAGTTATATCAAGATATCAAGATATATATATATATGAATAAAATTAAACAAATATAAACTATTCTTTATTATCATGAGCTTATTTGTATTTTAGAAATATAATACATAATGGAACTGTAAATTATTTATAAAAACTAACATTTAGATTTGTACAATTTATATTATATTATATATTATATATAAATTTATACATTTATATAATTACATATGTAGAATTAAATAAAAAATATATTTGTACAAATTAAATAGCATATTTCTGAAATAATACATATATAATATAATATAATTAAAAAGGAAAATAGTTAATTATTCTTTCAAATGATTAAATCTTTATTATATTTTTTATAAATATGAATTATATTATAATTAGCAATAATTAATCAATGAAATAGATTATGTTTAAGTACATATATTAATTTTTATTTTGATTTTTTTGAATATAGAATTCGTCAAAATAAAAAAAATTTTATTTTATATATCGGTTCGGTTTTTAAATTCGAAATTATTTCCTTTTCAGTTATATTATATTATAATTTTAGAAATTTTTTATATGAAAAAAAAAATTGAATGAAGTTTATGATATTATGTATCGTGAATTGATATTATTATAAGTCATTTTATCACATGATTTTTATATTTTTTTAATATTCATTATTACAAAAACAGAAAAAAAATACAATGGATTAACTAAAAATAAATTATTTTAAAGCTCATTTTATGAAATAATATAAAGATAAATAAAAATTTAGCAAAAAAAGAAATTTTTTAATGGAATGATAATTGTACAAATTACAATTGTGTTTCACTTAGAAGAATTTCATAACTTAATATTTTCTCTTGTATAATCTCAGGATAATTTTTTCTTATGTAAATTTATAATTAAACTGATAATTAATAACTGATATTTTAAAAAACTATTATCTACATTATACATACATATATATATATATATATTTGATAGTTTAGTATGCTGTTAGTATAAGTAAGCTATCTCGCTTAAATGCGCCGCAAAATTTAATATATAAAATCTGAGAATTTTATATATGAAAAATGGTTTTTGCCATAACTAGAGCCTGTTGTTTATTTTTCCGTGCTAGCACAGGATTTAAAAGTAATTACAAAAATTATAAACACTTAAAAGTAAGTAATATTGATATAAAAACTAAATAACCTATACTTTTTTAAATAGTTTATATTGTTTTATATTTAAATTAATTATATTTAACATTATATATATTTTGAAATTTAAATATATTTTGTTTATAATTTTATTAGTTTTAAAATGGATAATTTTTTTATGAATAAATTTAGATTATTATATCTATTATATTACTTTTTTTTTAAATTAAATAAGGAAATATTTCTTTTATCAGATCTGTTCAGTAAATTTCTCCATAAAAACTGATATCTCTCCTCTAGAAGAAGAGGTCCCAAAATTAATACCTCCAATTGGAGATGGAAAAATATTTGAAACTGTAGAAGATGCTATATCGGATATGCCAGATGGTGCTAAACTTTTGATTGGTGGATTTGGACTTTGTGGAATTCCTGAAAATTTAATTTCAGCTGTGTTGAAACGAGGTTCTAAAGATTTAACTGTTATTTCAAATAATGCAGGAATTGAAGATTTTGGATTAGGTATACTATTAAAAGAATGTAGAATTAAAAGAATGATTTCTTCTTATGTTGGTGAAAATCCTGAATTTGAGAAGCAATATCTTAGTGGTAAATTAGAAGTTGAATTAACTCCACAAGTAAATATTAATGATAAGAATTTTTTATTAAATTTTATATATAGAAAATTTTATATTACATTTTTAAAATTTAGGGTACACTAGCAGAACGTATTCGAGCAGGAGGAGCTGGAATTCCAGCTTTTTATACTCCCACAGCATATGGAACAATAGTACAAGAGGGTAATGTTATTATAAAATATGATGAAAATGGAAATGCAGAAATATCTGGAGAACCAAAAAATACAGCACAATTCAATGGCAGAAATTATGTCTTAGAAACTGCTATTACTGGAGATTTTGCTCTTGTGAAAGCTTGGAAAGCAGACAAAGCTGGCAATCTAATCTTTAGAAAATCAGCTAGGAATTTTAATCCAGTAATGTGTAAAGCAGCTAAAATTGCTATTGCTGAAGTAGAGGAAATTGTAGAAATTGGACAATTAGATCCTGATCAGATTCATTTGCCTGGAATTTATGTAGATAGGATTGTCAAAGGTCTTTCATATGAGAAACGCATAGAGGTTTTTATATTTTTATTAAAATTGTTTATTTAATTATTTAAATTATTCGAAATGTTATTAAAAAATTTTTTTTTTCAATTAGAAACGATTTACGAAACAAAATATAAAACCTAAAAAAATAACACCAGCAAGTAAAGCAAGGGACAGAATTATTAGACGAGCTGCATTAGAATTCAAAGATGGAATGTATGGTAAGAAAGAATTTATTTTATTTTTAATTAAAATAATTAAATTATTCTAAATATATTTTTATAGCAAATTTGGGAATTGGTATACCTATGCTGGCTTGTAATTATGTTCCTAAGAATGTAAAAATAACTTTGCAATCCGAAAATGGTATTCTTGGTGTGGGACCATTTCCAAATGAGTCAGAAGTTGATCCAGATTTAATAAATGCTGGAAAAGAAACAGTTACAGTTTTTCCAGGAGCTTCTTTTTTTAGCAGTGATGAAAGCTTTGCAATGATCAGAGGGTATATATCCAAAAATTTATATATGCAATTATATGTACAAATAATGTATACAATTTAAATGTTAAATTATAACTTTTCAATAAGAAACTATGAATTTCAATTTTTTCAGAGGTCACATTGATTTAACAATACTTGGTGCTATGCAAGTATCAGAAAATGGAGATCTAGCTAATTGGATGATTCCAGGTACTATGGTAAAGGGAATGGGTGGAGCAATGGATTTGGTTTCTGCAGCAAGTACAAAAGTAATAGTCACTATGGAACATAAAGCTAGAGATGGGAGTCCAAAAATTTTGAAAAATTGTACTTTGCCTGTTACAGGTAATATCAATATAAAATGAACATATAAAAATATATACACATATATAAAAATCATATCTGTTAAAATATTTTGTAAGAGAAAAATATTCAATCATTAATTTTAGGTCAACAATGTGTCGACCTAATAATTACAGATATGGCAGTATTTGAAGTGGTTCAAGGAGAAGGATTGAGATTAATTGAAATCGCACCTAATATTGATATTAGTGATATTGTTAGTTCTACTGGTTGTGAATTTTCGGTAGTTGATGATCTTAAAGAAATGGGACAAGTGAATTTAGATGATTGTCAATAAATATACATCCTTATATTCTTTTAAATATAAAAAATAAATATCAAAAATTTGTTTTTAAGAAAAACAAAGGGAAATATTGATATCAGGAAAGTAATAATTAAACTATTATTTTTAAATTATAAAATTACAAAATTATCTTTTATCTCTAAGAACTGTAAAGTTTTAAGAATTGTAAATTTAATATAAATACTTTATTTTATGCAATACATATAGTAGTTAGGATTTAATAAAGGTAATATATTTTTTGTAATATATCTTTTAAGATTAAAAAAATAATAAATTCTGAAAAGATCAAATATTTTTCTTATATTTTTAGCATTTTAAAATTTCCAAAAATTATTCTCTGAATTTGGCTTTTATTCTTGCTGGAAGTGGTAATAAATACAAAACACTATTTAATATACTTAATCCAACAGCAAAAGCCAATGAAATTAATAAATTTAAGTCAACATTTAATACTTCTGAAATATTTTCACCTTCACGTGTAAAGCGTTCTATTAAATAAGATCTTCCATCTGGATATCTACATAATTCTGGTATTCCTGGGCATGTGAAACTCTCATTATAATGTAAATTTAAAAATATGGGCACATCAATTGCTAATTGATTTAGAGCTAATGATGCATATCTAGCAGGTAATGTAGTAGAAATTGTAGCAAGCCAATAAGGCAAGCCTTTCAGACTCCTTATGGTACCTGATGAAATTATCAAAGATACTAATGTCATGTACAAGACTATTATTCCACCTGTAAAAGGTTTGCCAATAATCATAAGCACAGCTACAGTTATTTGTTCTGCTGCTACATAGCTAGCCCATAAAACACCACAGGCATAAGCCCAAGTGGATAAATCTAGCTCTAAAATAGGTACGAGAATACCAATAGTAATCATAGTGGATACGAAACTCAATGGCAAACTCAATAATGCATATGCAGTTAAGAACATAGCTCCACCATATAGACCTTCTCTTTTTTCTTGATAATATCTGGCTCGATATCCTGGAACTTTATAAATAAAATAAATTTTATAATATTAAATAATCTCTTGAATTGAATAAAAAAAAAGATTAATACTTACAAAGAAGAGCTGTGCATGCTATTCCAACAACATAGAACAATGTTACTACATTAAAAACTAAACCACCTGTTTGTAGAAATATTCTGGATTGTACAGGAGTCGAATGTGAATATAAAATGCTCATTAAAGCTATAGAAAATGGCAGCAATAATAATCTAGCAGCAAAGTGCCCCAAACCACATTTATTGAAAGCAAATGTTGCTGCCATACCTCTCCTAAAATATGAAAAAAAATATTAATACTAATTATTTCAGAAAAAGTATTTACTATAATTACATTTATAAAAACATACAAATAAAGAGCAAATAGAGTAGAGAAACATCCTGGTTTAATCCCTCGTCCTAAACCTTTGTGCATAATTCCTAAAGGCGTATCTTTGATATTGGGTGGAATTTGGGGTGCTTCTTTCATATAAATAACACCTTCAGCTTTAAATTTTTCAACTAGAACAGATATCTGCTGATTAGATTCTAAAAAACGATCTCTAGAGCGGCGATCGACAGTTGATAGACACACTAAAATTATAAATATTATTATTTAATAGAATTTAAAATTATTTTATTTTTTAAACAAATACTTACAATAATACATTAAAGGATTTTCAAGTTCAGGACATGGAAAACCGATATAAGTAAAATAATCTAACATACTCCGAGTTGGCCCTGAATAAACCACTGCTCCTAAACATAAAAGAGTCACTCGACTAACG